TTGAATATATGTTTGAAATGTTTAGATACAATTAAGAAATGTGAACATAATTAGAAAATTTAAGTAAACACATGAATAAGGACGGTTGTTGACTAGGATTTATTTATTTGATAACTACAGTAAGAATAGGAAACTAAGAGTCAATTTGAAATCGGATGAGTTGTAACTGAGAGGAACAGGAACAAGAAAATGAAAACATCCATTTTCTGTCACGCTTATCCCTACTGTGGTCGCGAGGGGTGCTGGTGTCTATCTCCAGCTGTTTACAGGTGAGAGGCGGGGTCCACGCTGGACAGGTCTCCAGTCCATCGCAGGGCAACACAGAGACAAACAGGACAAACAACCATTCACACCTAAGGAGAATTTAGAGAAGCCAGTTAACAGTCATGTTTTTGGACTGTGGGAGGAAGCCGGAGTACCCGGAGAGAACCCACGCATGCTCAGGGAGAACATGTAGACCCACTACGCAGCCCGAAATAAAAACATATGAGATCAAAATGGTCCCACTCGGCTGAAACCTCCCTTTTGCCTTCAGGCTGCCCCATATTTCCTAATAAATTTAATGATAAACTGCAAAAGATCTGCGATTTTGTTTTGGCTTATCAACAGTTTGGTTCCAAACAGCTCCTGTATCGGTCACGTAATCTTCTTGAAGCGATACGCGCACCAACACGGGTCTTTGCTTTTAGAGCTCGACACATTCACCGAAGAATCGGTGTTGCTGGAACCATCATTACTGTGGAGAGTCAGAAATGTGATGATGTCAGCCTGCAGGAGTTCAAAGTTCAACCCAAATTCCTCATATTGTAGCTTCTGTTCATTCTCCTTTCATGGGTCAACAGTAGAGCTCTATCCAGGGTATGGAAGGAAAATTCAGACTCCTGAGCTGAACCCGGACAGACTTCCTTAAACGGCAGACATGAATGATGCTACAGTGTCCGAAAGTCTGGTTTAAAACTATGAAGGTTTGTTTATTAGCATGTTTCTCACAGAGAACAGGAAAGAAACAATGGTTTTTGTTAAACCATGGTTTGTGGGTAGGGAGAGTGGACCGTTCAGCCCCTAAATAGTGAGTCTACGGCTGTCTTAGGATGTCTGCCCTAATCACTATATAGGGCACCATATAGTGATTATACTATTTTAGATGAGGGTCCGAACGTCTAGTGGATGAAAGTAGTGGACTCGAAATTTTCCACAATGCGCCTTCAAAAGTAGTGATCATTCATGGTCAATGGATGGGGAGATATGTCCCAAAATGCTTTGTGAGGAGAGTTCTTGACCCGCTCTTGACAACAAATGATAAAGATGGTGCCGTGCAGTGAGTCGGAGTCATGGGACCAACGGGGAGCAAAGAGTAGCGATCGTCTGTCCGAACGGAGTTCACTATAAAGTTCACTATATAGTCCGCGCTCTATATAGGGATGGAGGGATTGAGGGTTTAGGGTGCAGCTTCGGACACAGCCTACATCAGTGCAGAGTCGCTGGAATTTGGCAGCATGTGTAAGAGCGAGCTACTGACGGATGAAATGTGCATCCAAATGTAAGTTCCAACGGTTCTTTTGCATCTTTGGCTGAATCCCAAACTGTTCCCTAAGCATTAACCCTTAACCATCAAAAGTCACTCCCAATGATGTCAACCCTCACAGCTGTGTAAGGCGCCGTGATTGAAAGTGTGTGTGTGTTGGGGGTGATTTTCATTCAGTGTGACAAAGATGCTGCAAACCAGCAGAATTTACATTTGGATGAACGTGTTTCCTCCGCCACCATGCCGCCGCTACACCTGCTGCATAATTCCAGCGAACCTGCATCTGATGCAGACCGGCTATTTAGGGACTGGACGGTCCACTGGCCCTACCCACAACAGGGTCTGGATGGCCCTTAATGTGGAGGACTCTCAGTGGGAACACGCAAACGGAGGGTTAGTGCTTAGGGGCCGGTTTGAGATTGGGCCTTCATCACTCTGACAGAAAATCACAAGTTAGGAAAGAAAAAAACGCGTCATTAATCCCAAAATGGAAGGTCATCTTTGAAATAGTTTTATCTGAATGTGTATTTTTGTTTTAAGAAAGGGGCAATTTTAATTTCATATCAACCTGTGCCAAAGAGCTACAGTAACACACACAGGCTGGCAACGTGTTGCCATAGCAATGACTGCTTTTCTCTTCTGTTGGAGGGAAGAGGCCGTCCCATTCACATTTAATTCCCCCCTGCAATCCAGACACCTTCCACAGCTGTGAGTGTGACTTCATTGGAAGTGACACTTGATACTGGAAGGTTAGTGGTTAGGGATTGGGATTCAGCCTTACGTCGGTGTCGGGAGAGGAGAAGGAGAGATGTGTTTAAGGTCTAGAAATGCCTGGGATGTAGCTTGTTGCTTCTGTGGACGATAGCCTGCTACCTGACCATGGAAGTAGATTCACTCCTGAAAAGCTCTTTCATGTGAAATACAGCGACATTACGACCACGCTACTAAAGAATGTAGATCAGCTAGCAATGGCACTACTTGTAAAGGTGCTACTACTCAAGGCTAACAAGTTTGTCCTCATTTGGCTACCATAATCAAAGATGGCCGTAATCAAAGTTGGTCTCCCATTAGGTGCACTGCCACCTACGTAAGACATGGAATGCTTCATTTTGAATGTGATTGTTGTTGGACTTTGGCAGAACATTTATTAAGGAAATACTTGATTGCTACTGATAAAAAGCCAAAGTAGTTCCATAATGTCTCTTTAACCGATATCCCAAGTCTCCCGGAAGTTCCGGGAGTCTCCCTGATATAGATAGTTTTTCACGGATGCCCGCGAGTCGGATAAATTATTCCGGATTTTACACTCTGCGAGGTGGTGTTTTTTAATGTGTGCGGATAAGAACTACTTTGATTGCGCAGACAACAAGGGAGAGTGGGGTGTGGAGATGAGGTTGCTGGTGAAACCTGTGCACCGGATCTGTCCAAAGCGATGCTGTTCAACGAGTGATCCAGGCGACTGGTTGTCAGAGAGCGCTCATCGTTTTTGGAACTTGGGATGTCGGCTTTAACCGTTTTCGGGGCCCCTCATGGTGAGTTGGTTTGCCTGTTCATTGTGCCGGGTCAGCCTGGTTCTGATGCATCCATTATGAAGGGCTGATGTGTTCAATCTCTTGTCCAATGGCAGCAACCAGAAAACGGTTCTTAGAACCCTGTCCAAACTCCGGGACAGGAGAACAACCAAACCAAGGACTGGACCAGCGAACCTGAAACAGATCCGATCAACTTGGATTTTTGATTCAAACCTTCCATCAGCTCCTCTTTTCTTAAGCAGGTTTTGAATGTTTTCTGCCAGCTGGTTATATTTTTCCTTTTAACCTGATTGGTACCGTTTGTAGATCCATTCATTCTGATGGTTCAGGACTAGAGACTAACCTCTAGGCTTCACATGCAGACGGTCACTAAGACGCCTTGTTTCAGGTCCACTCCCCTGAACCAGACGCCTCATGGTTCATCGGTCTTCATGCAGGATTTATTTTGAGCTTCATGCAGAGTTAAAGCTTCCAAAAGGTTCACCTTAGTGTACAGTTTTGGTTTGGTTATTTTTTTAAATAACTTATAATGAAATGTTTTAACCAATCTGTTAGGAAGAAGAGATCATCTTCCTCTTAGATCAGTTTTATCAGCTGCCCCTTTTGTAGATCATCTCCAATGATCCTTCATCCAGAAGGCTGCAGAGTCCCCCTGTGAAGATGTTGTGTCTCTGATTGTGTCCTCAGGTGAAGTCTGTGGTCAACCTGCTGTTTGCTGCCTACACAGGAGACGTTTCAGCCCTGAGGAGGTGAGTCAACAGTTTCAGCTCTTCTTCTCCACCAGAATCCATCCAACATGCATGGAGAAGCTTTAATAAAGCTGCTTTGTACTTTACTGCCCCCTACTGGGCTAAAGATGCACGTTTTTCCAGAGCAGAAAGAAGCATGAAAATGCTTTATGAATGTGAGATTTCTAAGTGTTTCTGGATGATTCTGGATGTTTTTTTATTTTTATTCTATTATCTCATCTCATCCTTACGAAATTATTCAGTTTCCCAAACTATCCAGCTTGGTTGATGTTGGTGAAAACCTGCCGCTCCAGTCAGACGTTTACAAACTGATGAAAAATAGACTAATTTTTAGGATTTATTTAAATTGTTCAATGATGTCAGAACCAGCTTAAAGTCAGAAAAGGGTCAAAATTCTATGTGTAGGCTCTTATATCTAGATACACCCCACAAACATTTCTCAGAAAACTTTACTTCAGGGGTTTTTCTGCAGTCACCATCAAGCTTCTGCTGGAGTATTGGACCGCGCTCCCGGCCAGAACCAGCCCGGTTGATGTAAATGGGCCAACCTCTTGACCCGAATGTTTCCAGTTGCTGAGATTCTGGGAGGCTGTTTTCGTCTCATTTGTTCCAAACGAAGTTTTGATCTGTGTTGGGATCATTGGCTCCCAACTGCTAAAACACCAGTTTAGCTCCAGCTTAGACTGGGAGGGTTCTGATCCAAAGGAACAACCTGGACAAGCCAGATATCCTCAGGGGAAGCTTGGACGTTCAGATGAGACAAAGATGGAGCCTTTTGGAGGATTCAGACACACCTAAGAGGACCACATCCACTGTGGGGCACGGTGGTGTCAGCATCATCCTGTGGGACCATTAAACCAGTTATACTGGAGCAGTGAGACAAGAGGATGGAATAATAAAGCAGTTCTTCATCTTTAGCAGAACAATGAACCCAAATCCAGGTCCAAACTGGTTCTAGACTGGATGACATCAGGTATGAACCATGAACCGTCCCGTTTATATATAGGCTTCACCAAAGGTCCAGAACATGGAACCTAAAACCACGCTCAGAACTGGACTGTTCTGATCGGGGATTTTACCCGCCTCGGTTTGTAGATCTGATCTCTCTGTGAAGCTCGGTGCAACAGATGGAAATCTGGATGGATCCAGATTCTGATTCTGATCTGCTTTAAAATCTGTTTGATCTCTAGTGGATCAGAACCAGATGTGTGATTCGTGGTTCTGAAATCTAAGCTAGATGTTTGTGTGTTTAGGTTCGCCCTGTCCTCCATGGACATGGAGCAGAGGGACTACGACTCCCGGACTGCGCTCCACGTGGCAGCAGCTGAAGGTAAACCCTCACCAGGAAACATTGGTTATCTTGTTCTCAAACAGAACCAGACCGTTCGGGTTTCTCTGTGTGTTTTCAGGACATTTGGAGGTGGTCCGCTTCCTTCTGGAGGCCTGCAAGGTGAATCCAGTACCAAGAGACCGGTGAGTCCAAGCTGCCCCGGTTTCCTAAGGTCTGTTGGTTCTGAAGAGTAGAGACAACAGTTGGTTCTGTATAAGTCCATGTTTCCTCTGCCCAGGTGGGGGAACACGCCGTTGGAGGAAGCTGTGCAGTTCGGCCACCATGATGTGGTCACTGTCCTGCAGCAGTACCAAGAGAAGTACACCCCCCCCGAGGGTTCTGACCACAAGAGCAGCAATGAGAAAAACCTGGACAGCCTCCTGTAGATCCGCTGGCCTCCCATAGACCCACTGGTCTGCCGTAGACCCGCTGGGCCCCTGTAGACCCGCTGGCCTGCCGTACACCCACTTGGCCCCTGTAGACCCGCTGACCTTTCATAGACCCGTTGGCCTCTCGTGGACCCGCTGGCCTCTCGTAGACCCGCTGGCCTCCTGTAGACCCGCTGGCCTCTCGTAGATCCACTGGACTGCCGTAGACCCGCTGGGCCCCTGTAGACCTGCTGGCCTCCCATAGACCCACTGGACTGCCGTAGACCCGCTGGGCCCCTGTAGACCTGCTGGCCTCCCGTACACCCGCTGGCCTCCTGTAGACCCGCTGGCCTCCCATAGACCCACTGGACTGCCGTAGACCCGCTGGCCTCCTGTAAACCCGCTGACCTTTCGTAGACCCGTTGGCCTCTCGTGGACCCGCTGGCCTCTCGTAGACCCGCTGGCCTCCCGTAGACCCGCTGGCCTCCTGTAGACCCGCTGGCCTCCTGTAGACCCACTGGCCTCTCGTAGACCCGCTGGCCACCTGTGGCCGTCTTCTCTTCAGCACTCAGGCTTCTGAAACGTCATGAGTTAGATAGTTGCTTTGCTTTGTGTTTTTATTGTGAGCAGCTTAACTTTATGGTTCCAACCACAGAACACCGTCTGAATATCTGTAACCTGTGTCTACCGTAGATTCTACATATCCAGATATATACATATATATTTATAAGCTTAAGACTGGGACTGCATCAGAGTCCCAGTTTAGTTCTGTTGCTTCAGTTCGTCTCCTTGAACGGACCTGCTGTGAGTTTGTGACTGTGATGAATCTTGGTGTGAGTTGTGTCTCCGCTGCTCTGATGCGGTTCTTGGTTCTCCTCCGACGTCAAAACGATGATTGTTTCCTGAATGTATTTTACAACGACGCCGTCCGCAGGAGGGGCGTGATGATGTCGTCATTTCAGAGACTTTACAGAGTATGAAATCTGTCTAGAGACTGATATTTGTGTAATTTATTACATTTACAATAAAGTTGTCTTTCTTTTGGTTGCATTGAGGCTCCTGTTTGGTTCTTCTCATGAGAAACCCGTATTGTGTCCAGTGGGCCCCCAAGAACAGCCCTCACTCTGAAGCCTGGTGGAGGACCCATCATTCTGGGGGAAAAGGGTTGGCTAACGTCAGATCACTGATGAAAAGAGAATGTGACCAATACTGGTTCTGGTCTGCTAGCTAAACAAGACTTCTCCAGCCTTCTGGGACTTTGTAGCCGATCAGTGGAGCATAGAAACTAAATGCTGCTCCTCTGTGTTGGTTCTAGTTCTGGTTGGACATACTCGGCTGGAACCAGTGTTGCTTTCGTCAACGATGCTAAATTATTTTGTCGACACTCCTTTTTGTCATGACAATAATGAGAGTTGATGAGCTAAACATGGATCTTTGATGACGAAAACATGAAAACTCCTGTGTGAGTTTTCATTGACGAGACTAAATAAAAAATGTTAGCGGGTGGTCGGACGGATTAAAACACATCATTGTTCTGTATCTGCTAAGCGGTATCAGCAGTGCTACTGCGTCCTGTTTGGTCACGGCGCCCACCTTGCGTGCAGCGGTGCTATTTGTGCATGACCACAGATGGACTATGGCAGCAGGGGTGAAATTATCCGGAATAGTTCGGTACTGCACGCTCAACTCTGACAAACTCTGCTCGACCAGCTGTGCTTGTTCAGAAATGCGTCTTTCCAGTCTGATGGTTCGCACTCAGCAGTACTGCTCTTCCTGCTCTCGCTCCTTAATAAACTATATGTGGCTGATCATCCTCTGCAAAGCGTAAAAAAAACCCTTTGTTTTACTATCAAGATTTTATTTCTTCCAGCTCACAACATGTGATATTAAACATTCTTTCTTTCTACCAAAAGGAATCCCTAAATTATATACAAAGCAAATATTTCATTGCATTCTGTTTATTTTTGGATAAGGACCAAGATTAAAAGGTACAAAGAACTTTGAATATTTATCCCTCATAGTTCTTGTTTGTATCTATTTGAATATTTCAACATTTTAGTTAACATATTGAAATTTAGTTCCAGATTGCCATGGCATTATAAGACATTTATATAGATTCTCTGTGTAGTTTTTTTTTAAATATCAGATCCCTTTTTGATTTAAATCTACTTTGAACCCTGAGCAACAGTAACCAAGGTGTAAATTCTCAGAAATAAAGCCAAAATTGCCAAAGTAGAGAGAAGAATGTTTTTATTCTTTGCTTTTTTGGAGTAATGAAGATTTAAGAGTGAAAAGTAGCATTAATGTATTAGCCCACTATAAAAAAAAAGGACTATGTGGACTTAAATATATAATAAGCACTGATAATTAAATGTTCATCCTGGAGCAGATGTCACATCATGTGACTCTGCTGTACCATATTTCATGCTTTAAGGTTATTTTCCATTACAGCATTAATTTATTAGGTTTGGTTGCATTGATTAAATTATAAAAACAAAATAAAGAAATCAGAATTTTATGTTATTGTCATGAGGCGGTGTTTGTTTGGGGGACCCAAACGCAGAGACCAGTAGGAAGAGGTGAATTAAAGTCTGTTTATTTTGGTTCACAGATCCAGAAGCAGGAATCAGAGTCCAACTGAAAATAACAACGTACCAGAACCAAGGAGACATCAGGGGTAAACCAAAACTAGGAGCCAGGCAGAGACGAGACAAGGCAGGCAGATGATAGACGGGAAGTAAGACGAGGATCCAGCAACCAGGAACTGAAGAGGGATGGCTTTTAAAGGGGGCAGAGACCAAGAGAGGGCTGACGAGGGAACTGACAACAGGTGCAGGCAGGAGAGAGAAACAGAGCAAGGGAGGACACAAGAGGGCAGCAGAGGACAACAAATGGAAAACCAAGAAAAACAGGAACAAACAGACCAAGACTCTGACAGTTATTTTTATTATGAGGATTTGTTAAAAAAATGGAAGAAAGTTCCCATCCCTGCATCAGAGCGCTACCTGTTGGATCTATGAACGGTTTTCTATGCTTGCAAAAAAACTAGCACCGAGCTAGCTCAATATTTAGCTAGCAGCTAGTTAAATATTTAGTTTGTGAAATTAATTGAAATTACTACATTCTATTTGGAGATAAATATTTATTCAATTTGCAAACTAAATATTTATCTAACAAAGTAAAATCTTTATAAATGAATGAATGACATACTGAAAAAATTACTTGGAAAAAAATAATCCCCTTATTTTTCTCTTAAAAGAAGCTAAATAAGCATTATTATTGCTCCTAATTCTCTGACTGCTTAACAAACGGCGCCCCACAGCCTCGCTGAGCGCGCCCCAGAGCAGCTGTGGCTACTATTCAGTTTACTGCCATCAATGGGTGACTGACTGAATGTCAGTACCAGCCATTTACCGTTTAGAATAGAAAAATCTCTGTATTGTCCCATAATGGGGAAACTGGTGGAATTTAGTGAGGCGACTTACTGACTGAAAGAAGTTAAAAGAGCAAATTGGTTTAAAAAGAATTCATGGTCCCTCGAGGTTAATAGGGGGTTTTCAGGTGACGTCCCGCTCACGTGACTACTCAGCGCGTCCGCCATATTGGGTGGCAGCCTTAGGCAGTATTGACAGTGAAAAATGGTGAAATCGTGTGTAATTGTTGGTTGCACGGCCCGTGGAGGTGGAGATCAACGCTCTTTCTATCGCATACCAGCTGTAATCGTGAATCAATGTGAAA